TAGTATTCTGTTTTCAAATGAAATCTACATCTAGTCCTATGGGTTGTGAATGAAGAATGATTAACGAAACCCAGTTAACAATGACTAGAAACTTCGGTTGTTCATTCAGACTAAGTTTGTTGGGAATTACTGTAAGATTCCCCAAAATATTTTCTACTAAATCCATGTAGCACAGTGCTTGTGTTTATAACAAACCTTGACATTTTGGTGTTAACAATTTATACATTACTTTTCAATGGCAGTATACCAAAGTCTTGGTCCTTCATATCTGTTCCATCGATACAGGAAATAGAATGCAAACTTTTAGCACTAGAAATCATTTAAAAGTTTATTTTACAAATGAGGAAAAGGAGACCAGAAAAATGAAATTCTTTACTCTTGATCAAAAGTATTATTAGTCCAGAGTATAACCCTTGGTGTTAAGATGACTTTAATCTCAATATGGCCATTTATTGGCCAGATGATCAAAGGTAACACCTAACTTTCAGTCTATTTCCTTTTTGTAATGGGTGATAATAATATACAACATACACATATAATAGATAATAGATAATATATGTAATGTATATATATATATATCAATTTATATACTACTTTAACACAAGACATTGTACTAGAATATCATTAATAATAAAATATATTATTTTCATGAGAAATACATGGAGTGAAGTAGCCAAAATTCTTAGTGCTCATAGCACATAACAAGGAATCATTATCACCTCCATGGTTCTCATCCAAACAACAGAAGAGTACCCTGGACTTCAGCTGTTTCATTTTATGCTATACAAAGCAGTTTTTCTTTGTATATAGAGAAGGGTCAAATATGTACTTTGTGTCCACCCCTCCACGCCCACCCCAGGCTCTTCCCACAAGTCAAACTAGACAAAGCACAATTGAAGGTGTTTACTACCACCCAATGAAAGTAATCACAATGTGAAGCCTACAGTTTTGATCGTCAGTTTATAGAACATTTTGTGTGTGTGTACTTTGAAAAAGTTGATGTCATAAGAAGTACTAGCATAGGACAGCTATTTACAATTCCTTTGAAAACAACTGACTTCTGTACTACTTTATGGATGGTATATTGATGAATGATTTATAAGAGAGACTACAAAGCAAAGTCATAAGGCCAGGATAATTTAGAATTAAATTAATTAGGGTCCCTAATGAGGTTAACTTAACCTTCACACATAAAGACAGCATGTCATGAGAGAAAAGCACCCATGGGAGTAAAAGAGAATGGAGAATATAATATGGTCTTTGGGTAAAATATAACTCAACACATTTATTTTAGCTTTCTTGGAAGTCAGGTTAATGAAATAGCAGAGTAGTGATTAATGGTGGTATGTAGGTGGAAGAAATGTCTAGACACAGATGAAAAGAGATTCAAGTTGTGTGGATTATTTGAAGGGATGATAAGTCCTAAAACTTTGTAATCATCACTGGTTTATGGGGTTACAATTCGGTTTGTATTTCCTCTATTATCTTTAAAAATAGATAATACACAAAACTATATGCAAAAATATATGCCATGTAAAGAGTCAATACACTATTACTTTTAAATACAGGTTGTTTATTAACTTACTTGTTGCCAAAATTTCAGTGTGCATATTGTCCCAACAAGGGCAAAGTTGCTCCTAGATCAGTGCATGATGAACAGCAAAGGAACTCAAGGAAATTTTCAAGATGTTAGTGCCTGGATCACACCCCCTAGAAATTCTGGTATATAGATGTGCCTTGACTTAAGTGGAGGCAAATCTTAATAAACCCATTGTACATACTGTAGGTCAAAAGTCGTATAACACACTGTTGTTAATAACATGCTGTTGGTTGATTGACTAGCTAGCACAAGACACCACAGAGTCCTAAGTGCTGTGCAGGCTTCAGGGTCCACCAGCATCACGGGGGCAGAGAGATGTGCAGATTTTAAATGATTTGTTATAGGCTCTCCGTTGTGTAGTTAGGAATCAGGGATGTAGATGGGATATTCCAGTGGCTGCATCCCTAGATATTTGGCTTGTGGAATGCTTATAGGCATCAAGGGAAGAGTTTGTAGTAGGAGGTATGAGTCTGGGAATTGTCAACATGTGACCTCAATCAAGGTTATAGACTGAAAAACTTCAACCCTGACAAGTATGCAGATCAAGAAAGAAAGTAGGGGACGGGAGAGTTGGCTAAGTGGTTAAGAACACTTACTACTCTTGCAGAGGACTCTGATTTGGTTCCCTGTACCCACACTGGTTGATTCACATTCTACTGTAACTCCAAATCTAGGGAATCTGAGTATGTTCTGACGTCTGTACCAGTAGTAACTGCATGCAAGTGGTAAACATAAACTCATGTGGCCTCTCACACATACACATAAATAAAAATAAATAAACAACTCTTCCTTTAAAAGAAGAAAAGAGAACTCAGGGGAAAATGGCCATTGGAGAATCATGCAGAGGGAAGAAAGTGGGAAGGAAATTGAGAAGAGGCAGAAAGAAAAAGAAAAACTGGGGCAGGAGGTCAAAGAGCTGACGAGGAGAGGTTTCAGGGAGCAGTATGTATCTACAGTGTCCTAACATGAAGTCTGTTGGATCTTTAGAAGTGTTTAATGTGTTTTCTGTGTTGCTTTTATTTTTATTTTTTATTTTAGCTTTTGTCTTATGTTTCTTTGCTTTTTGTAGAACTAATGTAATGTAGCTCAGGCGGCCCTTGAACTTGCTATGTAGCTAAGGATGGCTTTGAACTCCTGGTCATCCGGCCTTCACCTCCCAAGTACTGGAGATTTCAAGAATGTGCTATTATCCACGGCTTTTGATTCTGTCTTTAAGGTGTCACTGCCTGGGTATAGTGCCTGGGTCTTTATTATTAAATAAAGAGGCACAGAGCAGGCGGAATAGGATGAAACTATGGCAGGGAGTTCAGAAGGCAAAGTCAGCACTTAGACTTCATTTCTCTTGCAACAACAAATCTCAGAAAAATCAAGAAGGGAATGCATTCAGCTGAAAATTTTATAGCTGTTTTCCTTCTTCAAACAAACAAACAAACAACAACAACAAAACCAGCCTAGCACTTAAGAGATTGAGTTGAGGCAAGAGGATTGCTCTGAATTTAAAGCAAGTCTGGGAAGTGGAAGGCTGAGTCAGAGAGACACTACCAGCTGCTGCCATGACAGGCAAGATGTAAGGTACTGACCAGTAAGCCACGAGCCTTGTGGCAAATTATAGACTAATAGATGTGGGTTAATTTAAGATAGAAGAACTAGATAACAAGAAGCCTGCCACGGCCATACAGTTTGTAAGCAATATAAGTCTCTGTGTGTTTTCTTGGTTGGGTCTGAGTGGCTGCGGGACTTGGCGGGATCCGGAGAAAAGGGTGAGAGAGATTTGTCCTGACCATGGCCCAGGTAGGAAAACTCCAGCTACAAGCAAGCCTGGGCTGCAGAGTAAGACCCTGTCTCAAAAACCCAAAGTAAAATAAATAAATAAGAAGAAATGTGAAGCAACACCTTGCATAGCATATGCATTGAACTTCATAAGTTATAGAACACTTTCAATATACTGTCCAAATTTTATAACCCAAACAATCGCAGAGAAATGATGATTCCCCTCCCTACTGTGAATATAAAACTGAAGACACGTGGATATATAGACTAGATTGCTCATTACCATGCCAACAGGTTGCAAATCTGAGTCCTCAAGCAGCTCTGCCCCCGCCCCCCACATACACACACATACACTGTTTCATACAATTCCATAAAATCAGTTTGTGCTTGTTTTCCTGGAACTGTCTTCCCTGCCTGCTTTCCTCAGTTCCTTCCCCTCTGAAGGGTATGTCCTAAGAAGAATTTTGGGACCCCATCGGTCCAGCTTTGGGCTTTTTCCACACAAGTGAAAACGAGGCAGACATAGTTCACTGGGCAAACACAAGCCACAAGCGACAGAGATTTATGCTCAACTTGCAAACTTCTGATTACCAATTTGTTGCCTGCTCTATAAACAGGTGTAAACGAAGATTTAATCAGTTTACACAGCATGGTAAATAATTTAATCTCTCCTGAGCACAGTGCTTGAAAACGTAAATTTTCAAGACCAAACTGATGGTGACAGTATGATGCAAGTGTCCAGTTTCTTAGCCAGAAAAATTGCACCCACAAATGGCTCTCAAGTGCTCCTGCTCAGGGACAGGAATGTGAGAGGGGGGCTGAAAACCCAGAATCCCCAGTGGAAATCTCATTTTCCCAATATAAAGCTTAGCTACGAGCTCAGAGAAATGATTGTTGCCCCTCTACCATTAGCTCTCCCATCCTAAATGCCCTGTTCTTTCTTCTCCACCCTAAATGTCTGTCATCTCTTCACCTGTCACTCATCCCTGAGCACTTTGCCCCGCCTTTCTCCTGCCACCCTCCAATAAGGTTCATGGAAGAAAATACAGAATGATGAAAATAACAATGGAGATCGCTAAAGGTGTTGTATTCAATTTTAAAAATAGCTTATTAAGTCTGTGTAATACATACTCATTCAATAAGCCCCTTCATCAGTTCTATCAGGTGGGTGTTTATTATTATCCCATTTTCCAGTAAAGAAAACTAAGGCAGAGAAAGAAACCTTCCACATACTACACATGTAATAAACACCCCAGGGCTCAGTCAGGCACATCTCTATGAGCCTCAGTTTGAGTTATACTAATGAAATTGTGCTAGCATTGAGCTGGACTCAGACAACCTAAATAATATTTAGGAGGTTCATCATTTTAATTCTAAGGGTTTTCCCCCAAATACACCTGCATGAGACTATGGAATCTCTCATGGGAAACAATGCCTTCATAAGAAACACCTGGACTCCTGCCTGTCATGACTGAAGAGTATGTCTGTGCAGGTATAAAGAAGTTATACAGAAAAGCAAACACAATAAACAGCGGGTATCCTAGGAAGAAATGATCTGCAATTTGCCATTAGGGAACAGGAGCATGGTGCAAGGTAAGGAAACTATGAGACCAAATACATGAACACTTACTTCCTGCCTTGAATCCCTGCACTCTCCATCACATAGTAGCCTGGTTTGCATTCATATTTGCAGATGGTGCCCACATCGTGGTTGCCTTCTAGGCAATGTGGCAGGAGCAAATTTGCATTTGGAATAACTGGAGGAGCATCACATTCCAACTTGCAGTAGACTTCAGGGAGAGACCAGAGTCCATCTTCAAGACAAGTCAGCCACGGGCTCAGTCCTGACTCCAGGAAAGAGAATCACATGATGCTCAGAACAGAGACACACAGACAAAGAACAAAAACCTAGGCAACAAACAAATATACTGGCTTTCTTCAAGTCCCATTATTCTTTGTTGAGCAGTGTCTCTAAAATTTCCCATCAAATGCTGATCCTGTATGTTCGTACTCTACAGATCTCGGTGAGGTCTCACATGCCATAACATCACATAAAGATTCCGTAATCTTAATGAAAGAAGAGCTACCAATCAAATCATTGCCTTTCTTCCTACCTACAAGTAGCAAATATACATCAGTAATAGTATTATGGGTAGTATTAAAATAATGACAGTTTGCACTTTAATAGTGATTATATACCAGGTACTATTCTAAGTTTCTGCTTGTGCAAACACATGTAAATTCCAAACAGCAAACAACTGATCAAATAGATTCTGGCTAGCCTCTATCAGGCAGATAAGAAAATGGAGTCTGTCCAAAAGCAGAGTCTGTATTTGAGATAGGTGGTTTGGATACAGAGTTCCAAGCTTTAATACCATACCATGTGACTCTCTGTAATCTGGTTTCTCCCAATGTAAACTAGGACTGCCAGCATTAACATCACTAGCCTGCCAACCTACTAAACCACATCTCAGAGTAAGACTGAGGAATCTGCATAGGCAATGAGTCATTGTGTAACATACTGAAGGCTGAGAAGTATAGATAAAGAGCAAGGTGTGGTAGTCAGTTAGAGCCAGGTCCAGCACCCCTTCTTCTCAAATAGCAACACAGCCAAGGATACATTATGTAACTGTGCTCTCCTAATTTATAAAATAAAACAAAACATATCTAATGCAGAATGTCTATGCATATTAAAACTTAATAGCATGCACCTCAGTTGTTAATATTATCAGGACAATTGTGCTAATTGGCCTTATTCAGAGAATGCATATAAAAACAAGAAACAAAGACTAAGTTTCATTCATTATTAATGACACCTTAATCCAAGACATCTCTATACGTGTTTCGGGAACAAAAATTAGTGATATGTGAGGGGATATTGTGTTGTCGCAAGAGGGTATCAGAGAACAGCAATTTCGAAGCATCCATGGGTGAAAAATAGTACAAAAGTACCCACCCCTAAAGAGTGAGGGAATGAAGGGAGCTCACATTCACTTCCCCAGTTGGCCATACAATACCTTGGAGCTTGGCTGGTGGGACACATGAGATGGAGCAGCGTTTCAGAAAGTCAGTACCCTCCAAGCAGGAGAAGTTTGCATAATTCACCAAGGATGAATCAGGAACACCACAGTCAAGGCGAGTACAGCTCACATCCTTGTCCCAGTGGCCAGAGGAGCAAGTGAGGAGAATCCCTTTCTGGAAACAGAGAACGTACTTCTGTCAAAGTCATATATAATATCTATCATATTGGCTTCCCGACTTGGGTAGCATCTCAGTGGTCATTTGTGCAACCATTCTGCCTTTGTCCTTTCCTATGATGCACTGCTTGGGGAGGATGCTGATGGAGGGAGGCTGTGTGTACCAGGGAGGCACTAGGGCACTGCCCTTCCAAGCCATGCCTTCAGGCTGCTCTTTCCTTGCTCTGACCTATCTATTTTCAATCTCTGTCCAACCTGCTCTGGGCCCAGGATCTCAAGCCTCCTACTTGGGCATGCATGTCTACTCTAGGACCTGGGGACAGACTGGAGAGGACAAGAGAAAAGGAAGTCCTGGGTGCGTATTCTCTCTGTTCCCTCCTGAAGGGATGGCTGCAGACTGACTCATCCAGTGACATCTACCTTGTTCTGATCTTAGATCCCATAGGATCTGCTGTTCCACAGAGCCAATCTTTCAGGCTTAAGGGTGAGAACAGAGCCCCATTACTCTGGGCTATTATACATCAAGCAGCAATTCCTTAGATACTACCTACATCTTTTTCAGAAGTCTGCTTATAAACTTCTCTTAAATTACCTACTTTGGAGCAAGGTGCTGTGAATTCAACACTAGATTAGGTTAGAGAGTGAGGTCCGCTCTCAAAAACTCAAAGTAAAATAAATAAGAAATAAGAGGTAACACCTAGCATAGGGTTTGTATTGAATTTTGTAACTGATAAAAATACTTTTCGTATACTGTTTAGCTTTCATACTCAAAACAATCCTTTCTATTTTGGATACAAACACTAAGACACATAGATGTTGACTAGATTGCTCACTACCATGCAAATAAGTTACGTGGTATCTACTTCCTACTGGCACCCTTATTAATAAACATACTGATAATGCTACTAAAAATAATTACCTGTGTCAAGAATGATGAGTAGTACCTAAGAGAGTTAATACACACAGGAGCTTCTATCCAACCTGTAGAAAATGGGAGTGAGTCTAGCCATGTTCCTAAACTTGCCATTTCAGTGGGCAGGTCTAGAGTACATTGCCATTAAATAAATGAGAAAATATGCATGGAGTACCCAGAAGGGCCTGGTCCTGTACTAAACTAGATGCTTCCCACGGGCTAAAAGTTTATGAGTGGAGCAAATCACCGAATCAGTGGCTAAGAAAACAAAAGGAAAAAAATCAAGTTGGCAGGTGCCAGCACTATATTTTAATTTGGTTTAATATGGTCCGACAGCCTTCTCTAATGGTTAGAGAGAATACAACATAAAGAATATAAATTAGAAATAAGAGAAATAAAAAAAAACATTCCAGAAGAAAGCAATAACTCTGAGGAATGAAAGCCTATCATCAGGCATGAGTGGGGAGGGCAACACCCGAGGAGCCAGGAAGAGGGACTGCCATCTTCAGGCAGAAAGAGCTTGACATAGGTACAGGGCTTGAAAGATCATTGGGACTTTTGAGCAGCTCAGGGGAGATGGGAGAAGAAGGCATCCAGCCAGGTATGAGATGAGCTGCACTTACTGACTGTGAAACTCATGGCTTATTTGAGGAAAACAAGCATCTGGCCATGGGGCTAAAGATCAAAGACAGACAGGAGAGTCTCTATGATGAAACTGCAGGCATCCCATCAGGTGACCACACTGGCACACAAGCCAAAGGTCCAATGACCGCTGAAGGCACCTATCACCCCTGACACTACATCTTAGCATAGTGCTTTTCTCTGCTTTCCAGTGTGTCCCTGTTGCCAGCCAGAAGGATCCAAGTCAAAGCCAGACACATTTTTCTATTTAGCTTCAGTTCTCATGTCAACAGAAAGCAAATATCCCCACTGTCTTGTGATCATGAGCTGGGATTGTACAATTTCCTGCATGGGGCCAGAGTCGGGTGACAGTGGCTGGTCAGCTGAAGGGCGCCATTGCTTACTCCACCATGTGTTTGGCAAGTGTGATCCCCCATCCTCCTTCTAACCAGGTTCTTCTCACACTTAGCACAGTTGGGAGGTCTGGTTCAAACTGCAGCAAACCACTAATCATTTAAAGACTGTCTCTAAACTCCATGTGTAATGCCTGGCTTTTCTCTTGGCTTTTTTGGGTATTGACCATTTTGTTTTAAATTTGTCCAACTTTAATGCATGACAAATATAGTCTTTCTTCTCTGCTTATCCTAACCTACCACACACGTGTAGAAATAACTCAAGTTATTTGTTGAGTATTCATATGTATTCAGCATGAAGTATCTTTGCCTGAGTTAAGAACAGAAGATAGAGGATCTTTCTAGATCAGGAATTTGATTCTTCCAGCTTCACTAAAGCTGTTTCTGTCTAGGTGATTTCATGAAACTTTCTCAAATTCATAATTATGTCTTTAAATTCTGACCATGTCTAAGCAAGTGAAATTCTTCCATAGGTTCACAAACTGTTAAGAAATCAATTGGCACAAAACTGAAACATTTCCATTTCTCAAACAATTAATGCCTAACCAGTAATGGTGTGCCTATTCTTTTTCCATGATCATGTATCTTTCCGGCTCTCTCTTTGAGCACAATTGTAGTTTACCTTGTATACAATTCCACTATCTCATAATGCGATTGTTTTCAAAGGGTTCATTTGTGCTAGAAATTCCCCTGTCCAGGGCTGTAAGCTTTCTTAAGAGGAGATGGGAAACCAAGCCCTTAGTAAGAGAGAGATTATCTTGTTCTTAATATAAGGAGCTTAGTAATGAGAGCACACAATGCCTATCATTCCACTAGAAGCTTATAAATAATGCTCATCAACCATTGCAATAACTCAACAAGTTAAATACTTCTGTATGGAATATCTACAAATGCAGAAACAAATATAAAGGGATTATTTTAACTTGTTTGTTCTTACTGTGGAACACCTAAAAGATAATGTAGGCAAAAACTTTGCCTAGATCTGTCTCTTGAGCTATGTTCTTCACTAATACATTCTACTACCCCAGGCTACCCCAAATCCTGGAAATGGTGCAGTTGAAATTTGGGGTGGGGATTAAAAATGGGAAAATTCAGTACCATGATACAACCCCTGCCTTGGTTGCAGATTTAATGTTTTGGGGTGCAATTTGGTTATATTCTTCCAACAATCTCGAAAGGGAATCAGAGAAGCAGGAGGCTGACAGTGAACCTCAGACAAGTTAACAGCAATCTGTTTTCATCAGCCTCCAACTCACCTGCATGGTCCTGAGGTACTGCCCACTGCTGGTCTGAAGGACGTACCCCTTTTGACAAGTGATAGAACACTTCATGTAACCTGGGCCACTGGAGGTACAATTCACCATGTCTGCATGATCAAGTATCAATGGTGTACATCTTTCCTGTTCACATGGTCGTTGGGCACAGCTGGGGATGACAAAATTGGAATATCTTAGGGCAAGCCTAAATGGCAGCAATATACATCTCTGAACAATATACCTAAACCACAGAAAGATTTTCTTCATATCCTAAATGTAACTCATCACTTTCTCCCCTTCCTGAGAACTACGAGGCATGATAAACTTAAACCAGGACAGCTAACTTTCTGCAGCCCTTCTAAGAGAATCATTAGTGATAGGATGAAGTAGAAAATGGATTCCCAATGTTGTAGATAATCTCAGAAACCAATAGATCAAAGAATGATGCTTGCAACATTAAACAGCAATATTTCTAGGTCCCAAGCAATCAGAATAGACTCAAGACAAATCTCAAAAAAGTTCCTGGAGACCCGTGGTTTCATCAGGCATTGGCCCTTTGGATAACCGATCACAAGGAAGTCCCAGAGGGCCTGTGTGAAGAGGTTGAGTATCTGAGATCACAGACTGGTTGATATGAAAACACTTTGGCTATGGGTCCATATTACTGAAGAGCAGCAAAGGTAAAGGAAACCTACCAGTATGAACTGAATCTCCATCACATGCCAGACATTAGACCAGGGACTTTCTAAGATATCGCCTTAGCATAGAATTGCTTCTTGGACCAGTAGCTAGAGAGATACAGAAACTCCCCAAGGTTCAAGGACATTATAGAGCCTGGACTATGATAGCAGCAATGATGCAATAGGTAGTGGGGCAAGAAGAGTATAGCCTCCAGACACAGAGGAAACACAGCATTTAACTAAAGCGTTAGCACCAGACTTCAGTCCTGGTTATTCATTTAATACTTATGATACAGAGTCAATAATCCACACCCTGATGTTTTAGTCCCTTCCTTCATAGGAGAAGATTTATAGGGTACACACTTTACAAGGTTGATACTGTTCCCAGGCTAGCCCCTTTGCTGTCCTACTGCCAAAGAGCTAACCCCATCTCAGTATCTATTTCCTATCAGGCGCCTTTCTTTTTTGTTTCTCTCACTTCCACGCCTTTTTCAGTTTAATGAAATTTCTAAAATGCCTTCCTTCTCCAAGAAGCAACCTTCCCTCATTTACCTTCTTCCTTCAAATCTCTTAGTGAAAGTATAAAAATAACTCCCTCCTAACAATTAATTTAATCTTGTTATATATGTGTTTTCTTGTTCTTAAATCATTACTCATTCAATTACCCATAAGACAGTGATTATCTAATTATGTTCTTAATCTCACAACAGCAGTATGAACTTCTTGAAGAGAAATACTTCTTCCTGTTCAATTTTAAATCACCATATTCTTGGCTATAGTAGACACAATACAAGCTTGCTTAATTAAATTGGTTCTTATTTCAGATAGCAAAACTAGTCAATGTTACTAAAATGGAAAAATGTGTTAAATCACATGAAAGAAAATTATCCTACAATGATTCAACCATCCTGCCCCAATAATTCATTCATCAATAAACACAAATTGTAAGAGGCCCCAAGACCTTAGCATAACTTATGTCATGATAGAGAAACCATTCTGACCAGCACGTAGACCCCTAATACCTGCTAAAACGGAGACAAAGACTTATTCATCAAAGACCTAGTCCATAGCACCAGTATCATGAAAAATTCCTAAATGATTAACTTTACTTTTTGGTTTCTGTAGTTTCACTTCTCACTAACTTTTCTTGCTAACAAAAGTGTGTCAACTAGGATGTGGTTTTTTTTTTGTTTGTTTGTTTTATGTTTTTTTGGGTTTTTTTTTTTTTGTACATGAAAGACAAAGAATGGTAAGTTTCGGGGCTGTATGATTTGAGCAAGTTCCCCATGTAGCCACCAGCTGGTAAAACAGACTTCCTATTCAACAAGAGTATCTGTGTGTCTGTGATCCAGTGGAATTTTCTTACAACGAAAGGACATATGCTTTTCAAGATGTCAAACTAAGCACTGGTGGTATAACAAAGATGGCATCTTTAAAGAACTCAGTCTAGTGAGAGAGACTAACAACATATTTTCTTACTCTTGGTACTCTTGCCAGTGGTGATCATCATTAGAGAAAGTAGCTATCATTCATCACCAATGATGTGCTCTCCTTGCCCTTGGTTTGTATTAGGGGTCAATGACTTTATCAAAAAATTGGACAACAGTATAAGAATGTAGACAATGAAGTGCTGTCAAATAGGTACATAGGTCCTACTGTAATTGAGACTTGGTTTAAAAAGCAGTAGCCCCTCAAAAGGTGGATTTGATCTAACTGTGATAAATGGACATCCCTGATGGATGGGGTTTAAACACTGTTCCAGTGACACTCTCATTTCTTTTGTCCATGCCTGAGAGGTAGAGTGCAGAGGAAGTGGAGATGCATGATGTGAAGGGGTGTTTTGGCTTGTCTTATCTCATAGTTATCCTCTATGATGATGTAATATCCATATGGCCCATTGAAAGAAAGGAGAAATATAAGGGGAGGAAAAAGCAGGATTGTTAATGAGTCAGTGTGAATTCCCCAGATCCAATGCTGACCAGAGGGTATACAATATAAGGAATGAGGCTGTTTCTGAGTCTTTACTCAATATCTGGATAAGGTAGTCAAAACTTGACTGTCCTTGGAATGAGATCAGAATACTTCCTTTATAATACCAAAGAACTTCAAATCTGTAAATGCTACATGTCATTCATCTCCAAACCACTGTATCTTCTTCAGCATGTTCAGCAGTAAGAACTAGAAAAGGGTCTTTAACTCTCTGGTTCATGTCAGTTGATTGTCAAGGAACTTGTACAAAAGAGCACATGCTATTTATGGTGACTTTATCTGATGAGCCCATGTCATCATGAAGGACAAGCACATGCTGAGACAGGCTTCTTTCCATCAATATGGCTAGGACCACATCTATTGGTGTCATGAGCATCTATCTAACATCAGGAGTATATCCAGCGTTGACAGCAGAGCAGAAAACAAGACACAAAAGGGAAAGGTGTCATGAAGTAAGACCACAACCCGAGGGGTGGTGGGGAGCAAACCCAACCTGTTTATGAAGTGAGAAACGGTTTCATGGCAGCTGCTGCAAATTCTTTCACTAGCTTATATTTCCATTTACTTCCTCTTAAAAGAATTTGGTTTGTGAAGACGGTGTTTGTCAGGTCGTTAGCTTCTGATGGCATCTGGTACCAATTGTGGACTTGACTCCCTTGTGCCCCAGCCCCAAACCCTCTTTGGTGTTTCTCTTCCACTACAAACATTGCCTCCTGAGTGAGTTTGTTGTGTTCGCTATTATCACACCTTGTTACACTCTTCTTTCTCCTAAAGTGACCTCAGTGCTCGTAGCATGAAGACAGTGCTAATAGCTCAAATAGTTGATCTCAAAACTTCTCAAATACTTTCTCCCGTTGATCTCTGGAAAAAGTTAATGAAGGCGGCAAAAGTGATGCTTTGCAATGTAGTGAGGGTGGGAAGGCAAGAGGAGATATTTATCTTGGTTTAACATACAAGGAAACTAAAGCTGTTTGGAGACTGGCTAGAGGCCACACATGGAGTCAGAGGAAAATCCTCATCTCCTAGGCCTCTCTCCTAGGCCAGCTTCGACCATGAGGCCTAGATATGAGGATGCTTTTCTGCTGCTGTCTGTTCAATCAGGAAAGAGCAGCATTAACTACATGAACCAAAGAGTTCCTTACCAGGGTAATATGCATCCACATAGAATATTTATTAGTTCATTTGAGTTTTGAATGGTAGTTTTCAAAAGGTGGTAAATCAAGGCAGCAATGTTTGTTCAGGTGCTGTCTGCAAAATCCACCAAGTGGGTTTCCCCTTTGGCAACATCTCCTTTCTTTCTCAACTACTTTTTCAGATCTCTCTGTACCTCATCACAGTGTCTGCTCAGACAGGAATATGATGAGATCAGTCAAATGTAACTCACAGAGTTCTAAGTCAAAGGACTGAATTTTCATGACTGAATTTCAAACCAGTGGGTCCTTAAAAATCACACCATGGACATGACCACCGACCTATTATTCTAGTTTTATTTTATTGTTTTTTTCTTTTCCTCTCCATTTTCTGAGAAGCCACCACATCTTTCTTTCGGTTCTCATTCCAAAAACCACTATGCTGCAGGGGCTGAAGCTAAGGCATGGAATTCAGAAATCCCTGTTAAAAACCATTTTAACCCCAGGCTGTCTTCTGTTGTAGGAATTAACTCCAGAGCCCTCCACACTCAGTCCTAACCATCTCCTACTATATGACTTCTCCTCGGGTGATTGGACATGCCAATGATGCCCACAGGTGAGAAACCCCTGCTACCATGATTCCATAAAAGATTGGTCCCCTGCTCTATGCCGCAGGCTCTCAACCATAGCTATGTCACAGGCTCACTTAAATAGCTTTTAAAACGTGTCTATTTCCACCCCTTATCGCCTGAGGGATTTTATTTTTCCAGTGGCATGATGCAAGAATTAGTGATAGTTTCAAGTTCCAAATGGTTATTTGGTTTGGTTTGATTTCTGAGGCAGAGTCTCATTTTGTAGCCTAGGTAGGATTTGACTTAAAATCTTTATGAGCCTCCTGCCTCTTCATCTCTATGCTGAGATTACAAGTATGTGCCACCATGGGCAGCTGGTTCAAAGTCTTTACTACCCCCAGGAGTGGATCCTATCCCTGTAAAGGTCTGGATATATATAGCCTGACAGGAATATCAATAAATTGATAGTATTGATAGAGGCCTAGACTATGTGAAAGCAAAACTAACTCCAAAAAGAGAAATAGATTTCACTGCTAAATCATTATGTTTTAATACATTAAACCCAAATTATCACATAGAAGCCTCAGAGTAGGCCAAAAGCATAAAGTATTTTCCAGCTCTGACAAAAATTTGAATACATTTGAAGAAGGAAAATAAAACATGTGCTACTCATTATGAATTCATGACTTCTTCAGAGATAATTTTATCATTACATTGATTTGACCTTAAGGAATGACTAAGATGTGGAAGGGTTAAATAAATGTCCTGGGGTGTTATTTCTGAGGCTTTGTAGACAAA